ATACGTTAATCGGAGCGTACATTTGGGCTGTGAAAGCAACAACGAACTAACGCCCGCGAATCATTTTTCGCCAGCGAATGGTCCAATTTCGGCATACCACTGAGCCAAGCATCACCTTGAAGAATCAGTGATTTAATGAGAACGGACGACTAAGGCAAACGAATGCAGGCGCACATTATCCTCGTTGCTGTGTACACGAGGAAGGGAAATCGCTGTAAGTAAACATTTAATCTTAAAGTTCACCGAAACATACATGATAATATTTTGAGCTTCATAGTTCCCGAATAACAAGATGAAATCTTTGTAGTTCTGGACCGCGTAAAAAAGAATGTGATTTGTCGCTATCAGTCTTGAGATGAATAAGTTCACTGCTTGAAAAATATATAATTTTGATTTCCATACCCTAGAAAACCGACCTGAAAATGACCTCCTGTCAAAATTTAGTTCTACTTTGCATTGGTGAATTCCTACAACTAAACGAATCCCCAGAGGATCTTTCTTGGCATATCTGTGGAAATATTGAAGAACGAGTGACTGTGCATGACCAGAATCATGAACCGGAATTTAGCGTTTGTTTATAGGGGTGGAAATACGGACCATCGCTGCGCCCCATAAGCTACATAAACAGGAAAAAGAAAACGGGTGAGATGTGGGATTGGTGGAGAAAACGTGTGGAACGCACGCGACATCCAAGGTATACGCGACGAATTGGAAGCCTCCCGTGTTACCGAACTGCGCGTCATTCTGAGATTCATCTGAGTCGGACATGCTAGACAGCGAAGTTGAGTATGGGAGAGGGACGGAACGACGAAGAGTTTAGAGCCTAAACGTCCCCGTCAACTACAGCGGGACGTATCCTTATATTCCGGTGCGCAGCTAATCGGCACCGTGCGTACATGACAATGGACACTACTCCTTTCGCTAAAACCTTCACCGGTACGTGCGAGTTTTTTCCTCTTTTCTCTTTGCAACAAGGGCAATTACCGATGTTCCGCGGTCCCGCGCAGGAAACGAGTCAATTGGGATTTACGAGAGAAAAAAACCTCTGTACGCTCATGAAGGTCTCGAGGACCCTCACCCTCTAAATTACTTCCCAAATGGCTTGCACGATAGTTTATTCCCGTACGTTGGTAGTGCTGTGCGTGTCTGCGAATATATCACCGACCAGTACTGTTCTCATCGCTTTCAACGATTTTTGAATCGAGATTTCGGCTAGCTCGGCACCTACTAATATAAATACGGCCCGGCCCATGCCCACAGCGCACGGTGAGGACTTCTCGCTCGAGTGGATGCTTTTTTGACTTTCAAAGACGCAAACTTCCATATTTGGATGCGGTAGGTTTAGCACGACTTCTTTTGCCAGCCACGGCATATTGTTCAAGCTAAAATGACCGAAGACACGGGGAGGACAGGAAGGCTGCGGGCCTGGCGGAGTCAGCTGCTTCCATCTCAGCCAATCATACATTACAGTGGAGCTCGGCGTACCCTTACATATCAGTATATACCGCTCGGGAACGGGAAAGGCTTATTAGCCGACAATTGCGAGAAACGGCAGCCTCGGGTTTTACTTTTACCGTGACCAGCAGATTCATGTCCAAGGCATCCTGATTCGATGAACATACAGCCACGAGGCTGCCGGATGTGTTCGAGCTCTTGTACACCGACAGGGACGCACCGCCCGGCTTAGATTATTCAACTCCTGCCGTTATATAATTATATTCTGTACAAGGCCACCACTTTGATCCAGGTGGACACGTTAACTCATGACTGGGGTTCTTTTGACGGAGAAGTGATGGGATGTTTTTGTGGCACATACTGTGCCGAATGTGATCCGGCATTGCCGTTTGTCAGGCCAGGATGTGGAAGAGAAATATCCAATTTCGGCAAGTCGATCTGAGATTGAATCCCGTCCCCCGACTGCCTGTCCATTCTACATACATATTCATTCATTCTACTCCGCTGACGTGTCGTACGGCTATTCATGTTACCTCCATCGATACGCTTACTCGGCGCGCGTTCCCGTGTATCGTGCTCAAACCGGCCATTTTTCCTACATCTCATCCATCGTACTCACGCAAAATACCCAATTCAATTCAAGGGGAAATCGGGATTAAAATATCGTACGTGGGGATGGGGGAGGTCCCGGGAGGGCTGAAAAAAACTTTTCTGTACATAAAGTTTAAAGCTTCAAAATGCCTCATAGACCAAGGGAGGGGTATTGACTGGTTTTAATTAACATATATAAGTGTTTGGGGACTAATAGAACAATATTTATCAGTCTGAACTTGGTCTGAACCTACATTTTCTGTGATTTGAGCCAAATTGAGGTCAACTGTGATTGGTTCACAGGTCAAAAATCATTGAGCTGTTAGAATGCAGAGTGTTAAATGTATCACCTACATTCATTAGATGGTGTAGACAAGTACCATTAAGCCCAAGGAAGGGTATGAAGTAAGCCGGAGAGCAGCCGCTGGGCGCGGAGAAGCCGGCCCGACCCTAGGGGTGGGAATCTCCTTCCCTATAGGGAAGGAGGGAGGGAGGAGGGGGTCAACTCAGGGTCGAAAAAAACTTTTCGACCCTATATCCGATTTTTGAATCCCGAGTTCCCCTTGATTCAATTTGATAATCCTCCTCAAATCATCGTCTCCATATGATTCCAACGGGTGTAGACTATATATGCTTTCTGGGTCAAGTTAAGTGTTAAAGTTTGTTGCCTCGGCATGCCACAGCCGCTGCGGGACCGCCTCAGAAGCCCCATAACAAATGGGAGAGATCGAGGTAGCGAGGACCAGACAAGGCCACTCAAGCCGCTGAATCTCGTCAGATATCCGGGAAACAGATTTGATCTGAGAGCTGCGTACCGTCTCGCACGCGGCCGTTCGACTGTGGAGGATTTTTGGAACGGGAATCTCGCGTCAATGCGGCCACTGGACAGCGATGGAACGGGGAACGGAGACACTGGAGGCCCCAGGAAAGAATGAGCTGCTTGAGGTAAGAGAATACACCGAACCTTGGGGGGCGGAATAAATTTGACCAGGAACTGCGAGCGCCCGAAGGAAAGAAAATAACCAACCAACCAGAGGCCCGTTCCGAGAACACACGGGTTAATTTTTTATATATCCAGACCACTCGTTCTCCGCCGAGGCGCCGTTGATTAGGGCCAAAGAAGGCTTGAGGCAAGACAAGATAGGAGAAGAGAACTTGAGAAGCGGCCGAATTGAAGGGGAGAGTACGGGTGGCCTAGAAAATCAAAAGACACGAGCAACCACAGGGCTTTGCGAGATACATCATACAGCACAAGTTCAGGTGGCGAGATGGTGGGAGGCCTTGCGAGCCAATGTCCCAGTGGGCGAGCAAAGAAGGAAATACAATATCCGTCAAGACCAAGTCCGAGAAGTAATAAACACGAAGGTTGGACTGCTGTTTAAAGCCAGAGGCATTGAATTTGTTTGTTGAAATTACAGTCTGCCAAAAGGAACAACGGAAATTCCGAGATTCCAACGCGGCGACCCGCGTTGAGGTGGAGACAAAGAGCGGCCCATTGGCGGACCGGCCCGGCCCGCAAACAGCCGCCTCCTGATCGCCATGACCATCACCCCGACGCCGACCATCGAATTCAAATTTGAATCCATGTCCTCCTCTCTGCCTCTCTCCAGCTAGGACGGCCCATCCAGATCATGAAACCGATGTTCCCTCCTCTGGTGCTGTGGGCTGGGCTCCGTGCGTCCTTTCGCCATTCGAATCGATGCCTGCGAATTGACTTGAGAGCCTGAATTGTAGTGGTCGTCGCAGCAACCCCTCTCGCTGTCAACGTCGACTCTTTCCAGCCACCAACGTCCCTCAACCCCGCCTCTGGCGCCCCTACTGCCCCACGGTGTTCGATCCAACGTCACGCCACTCTCCTCGAGGCATTCGAGTACATTCTCGGCGTCGAGCTGCCCCTGTCACCCCAACTAGAGCCCCACTGCGTCCCTCCAACACTCCTTCACTATGACATCCCTGTGCCCTTCTTCCTGAATCGCGCGGGCTGCGCGCTCGCGGCGCTCCCAAGGTGGGAGGCATACGGCATTACTGGGGTTATTAGTATGTCTTTCTTACACGCTCTTCGCTTCTCTCTCCGCTCCTCCCACCCCTCGTCCCTCTCTAACTCCCCACTTCGTGCCTCCCACCCTCCCCTCTTGTCCGCGCGCGCTCGACTAACCGCTCGCCCCAGGCATCCTAACCGCCATCTCCCTCCTCCTCCTCCTCTCCAAAGTCATCCTAGTCGCCTATCGCGCCTGTAGCCGCCCCGCACATCGACTCAGACACAGCGTGCGCCTCTTCCACCCCGTCTACGCCGCGCAGGAGGAGCAGCGTCGCCTCGCGCAGGAGAAGGCGCGTCGTCTTGCGGAGGCGAACAAGAAGAGCGGCTACCCCGCCGACTACCCGTTCCCGGGAGACGGGTGCCGGCGGAACGTGTACATGTGGGAGATGGCGACGGCGCGGCAGAGGGAGGTGAAGATGAACCTGAAGAAGGATGGGGACGGCTCTAAATCTAAAGCGGGTGCGTACGAATCCGAATCCGAGTAGGGCTGCGACTCGGATGGATGCGGACGGGTGAGGGGCAATTGCGGATGCACCGCGCACTGTTTTCCGTGAGTGTATTGTTTCGTGCCCAATGCTACGATATTAATGCTGGGTTCGTGGTAGGGGAGCACGGACAGTTGTATACCATCGGTGCGGTGTTTGGCACCGCCGTTGTTGCTCGCACACCGTGCCTCCGCGTCTCGTCTGTTGTTATTGTACCACAGGCATATCGGTTCCGAACGGATGAGTATAGAACGAGGACGGGCAGTAGTTCACTTGTTTATAATCATTGTATCAGTCAACCCTTTGCAAGGAATACTTCTCACATGTACTTCTTGGCTCAACCTCGGTTACAGAATATTTCTTATGTCTAAAACTAGCCAAGCCCCGAGCCCATATGCATGTGCCTGCCCAAATGCCCACCTAACCTCCAAGCATTAATGGGGTAGTGGTAACCTGGGTCGTTGCCATACAAATTGTGGCTGGATACTCGACCCGCCGGGGGTTCGATTCCCCCTTAATGCATGCCCAAACAATGGCGTTTTTTTCCTTCTCCTTTTTTGCTGTATTCATGTCTTTTGGGTCAGCGTTGCAGTGGGTGTGTCACCCTCAAATCAATACATCTATAAAGCTGCTGAGCATTATGGGCTAGTCATTACCATATGCTGAGAAAGGGCCATGAAGTTCTCAACCCACCGCCGGACGTTCGAATGCCTTGTTTGTCGTGTTTTTGGCCTCGCGCTTTCTTGTGTTTTTTCTTTGGCGATCTTTATTTCATGTGATTGGAGGTTGCCATTGTGTCGTGTTCCAGCAAGTTGAAAGGCGTTGTTGAAAAAAAGGCTCAACGTGTCACGTGTTTCTGGTTCAAATCTGAGTCGCGAAGAGGATCCAATGCTGTCACTAAATTCTTAGCTGACCAGAAAACCGCCACCAGAGGAGAAATGAAAAACCCAGGGTTACGAGAAGATACACAGATGTTGGACATTTTCAGAACTTCCGGACAGAGAGGCATCGAGATTGCCATACAGCCGCATGGAAGACCGGTAATTCGTGCCCATTCCCTTTCCCCTCATCCTCTATGGACCTCGAACACCACTCACACCCGGAGCTAGCAGCAATGTTCAAAACCTGCCCCGGGAGCAGTCGGGCGGTAGATCGTTTCCTTCGTGGTTGAGTATTCTGAATACTTGTTGATGATAACCAGCGTTTCGAACGACTTTACTGTAAATTCACGGCTAGCACAGGCGAATCATGTTTCCGCGCACCTCCAGGGAACGTCTCACCGTTTACAAGATTACGGTGCGGATTTACTAAGTTCTGTGGAGCAATACCAGTTTGCCAGTTTGCGCACGTGGAATCGATTTCGTCTTCTAATGTTTGTCTAACACATACAACGGTCCCGGTCCTGAATGCTACCATGCATATGTTAGTTCACCCCGAGATTTCTAGGTTGGCCCAGGTTCACTTCAGTGGCCAGATGGACCTGCATAATGGCCAGCGCCGCCCGCCTCATCACAAAGGACCCCCAACAAAAATCGGCTTTCGCATTCTTCGGATACTCCTGAAATGACGATGTTTACGAAGGATTCCAGATCTCATCGGGGCAAAGGGTTTGTGTCCCACGCTCAGGATGTCGGCCTACATCCCGGATACCCGCTGTATGATCATGTCCACATCGACGCTGAGGTAAGTATCCGAACGTCTCGTTGTGCTTTGAATGGCATGTTTCGAAAGGGGAGACCGGACCGTGTAATCTCAACGAGGGTGCACTTTGTCAGGAATTGGGTCACTGCTTGTAATTCAAAGGATCGTGCTTATTGCTATCAATGGGGGCAATTCTTCGAGGAATTTATTCAGCTGGCAATGTAGTTCGAAGGGCTGTCATTACTGCGCAATCCCTTGAGCCACCTCGATTCCAAATGGTGGGACCATCCTCAGCGGACCAATCTGAGCCCCGGCGGCACAGACCTTGCTGGTAGCGTAAATGACCAGGAATTAGAAAATCTGCCTGGAGGTAGAGACAACTCGAAGCGACCATGATGCCAAGTGAGGAATATGCGTAGTCAGATGGAATTTACATCGCTGGTCCGGAACACTTTATGGATACTGCGCTGTAATCTTTAAAGGTCGGAAACTGCAGATTTGATCTCTGTATCAAAGGGTGGGTCATTAATATCGGCTTCAAGTACGTCTGACGAGTGATCCAACAAAAATTCAACACATCGCGTAAATTGACACGCCCCATCCCCAGTTCTTTGGAATACATTAAATGACCGACGACACGCAGCTGAACGAGCCCGTGAGATCGCTGAAGTCCACCGAGCCTGAGGCCCCAGGTGCACCTGCCAGATTCCAGACTCCCTCAGTCATGGAGACCTCGCCGTTGGCACCCGATAAGGTGCACGTGAAGCCCCTGCAGAAACATATATCAGCTCACGGTGTGCGCAGGAGCTCAACAGGACTAACTGGAAGAATGTGCAGAGGAATTTATCGGGCACGACCACGGAGATGACTTCCTGGTTCAAGAAACTCAACGCTCCTGTGAAAGCGGTACCGGAACTGGAGCCTGAGACGAGTTGGAAATCCGTGCAATTGACGCCAACTCCGGGACCGGTGCATAGCCCAAGGGTCCCGGGCCCAAGAGTCCCGGGCCCACTGAGGTCCTATATGGCAGATAGTTAGAAAGAGACTTTGACGAAAGTGCGCCAACATACAGCACCAGGGTTCGCGGGGACGGCTGAGGCGACGGAGAAGAGGGGCATGATATTGAGAGCAAGCAAAGACTTGTAGTTGACCATTCACACCACAAATGGAAATATTTGTGGTAGGATGAAAACCACTTGTGATTCCAATAGTATCTATTCAAGTTCCTTTCTTACCTTCAACTACGAGCATTATGGATAATATAAACTGAAAATGAATCATATGGTTTCAAAAGCGCTTTCAATGTCACAAAGAAAGCTAGTTTCTTTGCTTCATGAAAGGGCCCCACAAACCGTCACTGTCACAGCCCCTTTCGAGACCAGCAAAAGAACGAGTTTGATCGACAAAGGAAGCAACATTGAAAGATTCACTTTTCTGGCCACTTTCCAATACCCCGAAACAGCAAGTTTCCGCGGCACGGAAACTTTGAGCTATTTTTGCCATTGGTCCGGAAAATGCCGGACCAATGGCAAAAATAGCGCAAGGTTTCTTGATGCTTGAAACTTGTTGCTTCAACGTGTTTGAAAGGCACTTTGAAAGTGGTTCTTTCAAGATGCCTTTCTTTATTTGTGAAACTAATCCTTTCAGTGGCCTTGAAAACTGCAAATGAAACTTCAATTTTCTACAAGCCTTTCATGATCTGCAGAAACTACCTTTCTTTGTGACATTGAAAGCACTTTCGAAACCATTTGATTCATTTTTGGTTGACATTATATTAATTCTCATAGTGTAAGGTAGGAGGAAAACTCAAAATGATATTAGTGGAATCAGAGTCAGTTTTTATCCTACCGCAAACATTTCCCTTTGTGGTGTGATTGCGGGAGTTGGCAGACTTCTCCGATTGGCTTGGCTAAATGGCTTGCCCCGCTTAGCGGAGTTTGAATTTGGCTGGGCGGGCGTGGCGGGCGTGGCTTGCGGCTTGACTTGAGTTGTGCTCGCTTAACACCAAGCCATTCCACTGTAAGTAACTTGATGATATCTTCTCCGGCATGCTTCCATACCTTTCTCCTTTATCGGCATCTTCCCACATCTGTCCCTGTCTCCCAAGCCACAAACTTTGCCCGCTCAAAACATGACATTTTAATTATCGAGCATGTGAGCCATTCAGTACCTCCAGTTAGCAAGTATTCTCTCATTTCTAGTTGAATATGGCTACATCTCAGCTCTGCAGTGTCTTATGAAATCAATTCCAAATCAGTCGACTATATTCATTGATGCAATACCACATTTCTTCCTTTTCTTCCAATACTTCCTGAATTAATTGGACGGAAATCTATACCAGTGCCCTTATCCCACACCAAACCGGTGCATTCATAATCGTTCAAGCCAGTAAAGCATTCTAATCTACCCAGATCTGAATCTATGATTTGAACAACGGCGCCGAGTCGGATGGGGTATGTTTTTTGAACATCCTCGCACCATGTTTTTTTGCTCCCTTCTGTCCGATTATCGATACTACCTCTTTCCCGCACCGGTACGCCGAGTGGTCGGCCTCGAGGCGGGTGGGTTTTTCGCACTCTTGCTGGGACCTTCCTGAGCCTTTTTCTGGTGAGTTCTGGCCCGTTTTGTCGGTTTTTCGTCGTCGATTTCGTCGTGAGCCTTGCGTTTTGTCGCCCCACGTCTTGTCCCCCCACGTTTCCGCTCCTTCTTTGGCTCAGGTTTCGCCCGTTTGGCCGGCTTTTCGGCCTTGATTTCCTCGTTCTTCTTACGTTTCAACACGCCCTTGACCACGACAAGTATGGGATCTGTGGGAGGGAAGTGAGAAGGTCGGTCGCGCCGAAATATTGGTGGTCAGAATTCTTCGTCAAAAGTTGTGTGATCGCGCTTGAAGGCCGACATTTGTTGAACCAGAACACTGGACTCTGTGCTGGTGGTAGGAATTGCGCTAAACATCGCATTGAGCGCTTCGTCCCCATCTGGCCGGCACGCCACAACACTGTCATCCTTGAGATCCTCGATCAGGTCACCATTGAGATTCAACGGCTCCCCGAGTTCGTGCTGCACCGCAAGGAGCTGGAAAAGAACCGATCCCACACCCATGACCCTGATGTTGCATTCCTGCTGTGTCAGGCCGAGAAGCGCGTCATGTCCCATTAAATGCATCAATGGATCGCTCAAAACGGCCTCGAGTTCCGGCGTTAGATCCAACCCAAGTGTGCGTATCCAATCGCCGGCCTCCCGAGCACGTGCATGCTTTTTCTTTTTGGAAAAAAGTTCTCGAAACTCCTGATGACTGGGTGACCAATGTTCCAGCTGGCCAGCATTTCTGCTACTAGAGGAAGTCCGGCGTCGCGCCCTACAAGCCAAGGTCAAAACTGCAATTTCAACATCACTGACACTGTAGAGAATTATCCGAGCCGGTGCACAATTTTGTGCATCCATTCATGTGCACGAGGAAAATGTTGGCCTAATTCTGTACTGAACGTCTAAGGGATTAATCAATGCCCCCGCTCGTTTGATGGCATCAGACCAAATGGCTTGCGCACGCCATTTTGTTGGCAGCGATGAGCAAGGGCATAAAAAAGTAGTTCATTGAGTGTATATAACATTGGATGCAGAAATTCAAGATTGCAAATGGTTTAGCTACACCCACGCCTTCCTATTATTATTGTCGCAAGCCACGCCCGTTTGATGGCATCAGACAAAATGGCTTGCCCACGCCATTTTGTTTGCAGCAACTAGCAGCCGAAATAAAATAAAACCAACCATTATTTGGAGTTTAGTGACTCCATATAACTATGTAAGTAGCAATATCGTGTTTTCCAAAGCTTGAATCGAAAAATTTACCCACACTGAGCTCCAGCCATTTTGTCATCAGAATG